GTTTCTTACACAACTAAACACACTCTTACTGTATGACCCAGCAGTGGCTTCCTGAGTATTTATCCAAAGGGTTTGAAAACTTACGTCCACACACACACTGTACACAGGTGTTTTATAGCAGTTTATTCATAATCGCCAAAACTCTGAGGTAAGCAGCATGTCCTTCAGTAAGTGAAGGAATAAAAAAATGGTGTTACATCCAAACAATGGAATATGATTTGCTGCTAAAAAGAAAGGAGCTATGAAGCCATGAGGAGATAGGGGAACCTTATATGCATTTTACTAAGAGAAAACAGCCCATCTGAAAAGGCTACATAAGGTAGGATTCTGATTCTACAGTGGTGCATACATGCCTTATACATTTGTTCACACCCATAGAATGTACAATGGCAGGAATTAACCCTAGATAACTCTGGGCTTTGGGTGACATGATATGACAGCATAGGCCCATCCATTGTGAAAGAGTCATGAGGAAGGTGATAGCTGGAAGGCTATTCCTGTGTGGGGGCGGGAGCTGCACTGGAAACCTCATTACATCTGACTCACTTTTTCTGAACCTGGCTGAAATGGTTGAAAAGAAGAAAGTCTTAAAAAATTAAATTTAGAGACATGAAACTAATATGTATGAAGAGTTAAAGCATTCTAGAAAAATGGTTTCACCAGAAACATTACCTAATGACACTTCTCCCCTGTTTTTGAATAACGTTCCCAAATTTACATTTGAAGTTATCTCAAAAATTGCATACGCATCCCTTGCTGGAAATTTTGAACCTACAAACTAAGGTTTCAAGGAGAAAGCCAGAATCCAAAAAGTAATTAGGTTGTTTTAGAAAGTTCTCACTTTCCATATCAGTAAGCTCATATACCTCCTCTAGGTTGTCTCAATTGCAGAGATTCTTTCTTTTTTTCATACAATACATAAAGAATATGGAGTAGATATATAGAAGAAATACATCTGCAGAAGAACATCCTGCTTACCCATGACTCAGCCATGGAGCCCCCTGGTCTCACAGCCTGTGAAGGACTTTCACTCAGTGAATAAAGTCCCATTTTTTCCCGTGTTAGTATCAATTTATTTTCTCCTTGATACATTATTGATCTCATAGAAGAAATGAAAACCCAGATAAGATCTCATCCTGAGGACCATGTCTCTGCTTCTGAAGAGGCCTCAGGGTGGGTTAGGATCAACCTCAGGCCCACTAGATCACATGTGGTTGTGAAAATGGTCTTGGGGTTCCATGATGCTGGCAATTTCACCCCACTCTGATATCAGCCCACCTCGCACACAGCCAATACATATTTGCTCTCAATACCTATTTGCTTTGTTGTATAGTATAAAAGAAATTTAGAGCTGGAAGAGCCCTTAGAAATCCTTTAGTCCATCTTCGTTTTACACAACAGAGACTGCCCAAGATGACAGTCTGGAACAATAGGTAGTGAATGAGCGTTTAGGAGAAATATGATGGAGTATGGAATGTGAAGCAGTGTTGGCCAGGAAGTGGGAATCATGAGAGAATAGATGGCTAACACTTTAGAGGAACTTCTCCTGAGGCTATGAGTCAGTAATTGCATTGGAGGACATGCCATCTATTTTGATTTGAGAAAAAGAAATCACCTCAAGATTAAACTTACATCTGTTTATATTTTCTGAGTTTGCAGCTTGATGTTTCATCAGTATTTTAACTCTACTCTCAATGCTTTCCAGAACATAAGACACACAGCATTCAAATAGATTTTTTAAAGCATGTCAGATTTCTCTTTGCAAAGTTGTCCAATCTTGGTTCCAACAGTTCCTGTTGTTGAAATAATGAATAACTGATGGAAGTGTTTCCCCTGCTCCCTTGTCTTTGAGATTTTGTCCCTTATTTTTTGTCACAGTCATCTTAACTGAGGGGAGATTCCACATTTTGACTGTTGGTACTTTCAATCCTCTTGGAATAGCAAGGTCATGAGCAACACCAGCTAGGAGGAGCACAGTCTGAGATCAGAGGCATTTGAGATATCAAATGATCTTGTCTCTGTTACTTTAATCCTTGGCCACATGTTCCTTTTTTTTTTTTAAGATTTATTTATTTGAGAGAGAAGAGAGTGTGCACGCATGCCACGTGAGCTGCTGGTGGGGTGGGGAGAGGGAGAGGCAGATAATCTCACGCAGACTCTGTGCTGAGTATGGAGTTGGGTGTGGGGCTCGATCTCATGACCCATGAGATCATGACCTATGAGATCATGACCTGAGTTGAAATCAAGAGCTGGCTGTTTAACTGAGTGAGCCACTCAGTGCCGCGCTACATGTTCTTTTTACAAAGACTTTTTCTACATAACAGACAATTGAGATGGTAGACTTGGCAGAAATGGAAGGTTTTCTATTTTCTTTGTTTAATGGAGTGAATCGTGATTCCTTCCTGATTTCAAACATGTACACCAGGTTCATCGCTGAATAAACAGCAATAGCATCTACCTCGTTCCAACTTATTAACAGTGACTCAGTGGTATGCAGAGGTATAAATCTCAGTCTCCACATTCTCACTGTGCACTTCATCCCTGATCGAAGATATAATTTGCTTGACTATTGCTGCCTTGATTCACCTGAGTCCCTCAGAGGCACAGGCTAAGAGAAGAGCATTTCCCCAGTGAGTTCAGTAGAGATGTGACCACAAGATGTGACCACAGATGCACCTGTGCTGATGCAGAACACGTGGAGGGTTCATTTTAGTGCATCTGATTGGCTACGGCAGAAGCAGGGTCTTTTTCTTATTGGCTGGTAGACAATGTGGGAAAGTACTGTGTTAGAGGAAAGAAGGGACGGCCTGACAAGAGGAGGAGCTGAGCTGGCTGGAGGCTGCAATTCTCAAAGTGACTGTAACTGGGAGGAACCATGAAGACATCCACGGGAGCTTTAATCATATTCTCGTGGCTGCAGCTGAACTGTGAGTTGAGGGTTTATGGGAAACAGTGTATTAGTGGATATTCTTCAGAGGTCAAGACTGGCTTCACTCAGGTTTCCTTCAGTTAGTGTAGAAAAAAAGAATTCTGAAGCAGAATAACCTGGAATCTCTTCTCCTTTCTCTGACCTTTTCTTTCTGCACAGGGTTCAGCCAAGGAGAGAAGGTGGAGCAGCATCCTTCTACCCTGAGTGTCCAGCAGGGAAGCAGCTCTGTTATCAACTGCAGTTATTCAGACAGTGCCTCAGACTACTTCCCTTGGTATAAGCAAGAGTTTGGAAAAGGTCCCCAGCTGCTTATATACATTCGTTCAACCATGGCCACAAAAAAAGACCAAAGACTCACTGTTTTTTTGAATAAGATGGCCAAACATCTCTCCCTGCACATCGCAGACACCCAGCTTGAAGACTCAGCTGTGTACTTCTGTGCAGCAAGCACACATTGCTTCCCAGCACCTGCTGCCTGCACTCAAACCTGTGACTGGGGCAGCCCCCTGTCCTTTGACACAGAACTTCAAGTTTGCATTTGTCCTATTGTTTGTCTGCAAGTGGAAGATAATGTGTTAGACGTTAAAAGCATATAATAAGACTATTAGGATCAAGATGACCCAGAAAAGGTTAGAGCACTTTGTTGGATGCATGTTTTTTAATGGATTCTTGAATGGAGTTAGTAATGTTTTATTTTGAAATTAAGGTTTTAAGGAACTTTACATTTGCTATTGAGACTCCTATAAATAACCCCTTAGTACCAACATTACAGTTCTTATTATCGATGGGCACTTAAATATTGTGCTACAAAAGTAGCATCATGCCAAACATAGAAGTATTTAAGGTGCAAATATGAAAGTGATAATTCTGTAAAGACTTTTGGGTAGTGAGACTCTCAACTGGATCATAGAGAACTATGACATGACCCACACACTTGCTACACCAGGAGACCCCTGTTTCCTGTTCTGGGGCCACAGCAGCAGGTACCCAGTAATCTTTCCCTCACCCTGTCCCTCATTGTGCCAAGCCCTGAAACTGAAGAAGAAGAAGACATTTTCCATCTAGTGGGAGAACTCAAACATATTGCTCTCCAACCTTCTCAAGGTGGTCAAGGCTTCCATGTGGCTAAGTAAGGATGGTCCCTGTGGGAATGTGCCTCCTCTATGACCTAAAGTCAAGAGAGATAGGCAGGATCTTGTGGATATCTTGGGAAAGTGGGATGACAGTGTGTAAAATAGAAGTTCTGATTCTATGTTGTTTTCCTTCAGGATCCAGTATTGCCCAGAAGGTAACTCAAGCCCAACCAGCAATGTTAGTGCAGGAGAAGGGGGCTGTCACTCTGGAATGCACATATATAACACCAGTGACCCAAATCATAGTCTGTTGTGGTACAAGCAGCCCAGCAGTGGGGGCAATGATTTTCTTATTCGTCAGGATTCTTACAGCCGGCAAAATGCCACAGAAGGTCGCTCCTCACTGAATTTCCGGAAAACAAGAAAATCCATCCAACTTGTCATCTCAGCTTCAGAGCTGGAGGACTCCGCAGTGTATTTCTGTGCACTGAGGGAGCCCACAGTGGGAGGCGTGATGGAGCGAGGTGTACCCAAACCCCAGGGCTCTTCCCGATGCATCTCCCTGCTGTAGGGCCCAAGGCAGGGAATTGCTGTCCCTGATAGGAAGTGGTTAGTGTTATGGCAACATAGGTCCAGGCCTAGAGGGAAAACCTCACCCTAAGAAAATACCTCTCCGGGTAAGAGTTATCGTGCATCAAACACTTCCTCACCCCTGAAAATTTGTGCTGAAATTGTTTATGGAAGGCTAGAATAGCCACAATAAACAATCTGCCATTTTGTAATTAGATTCAGCTAGAAGGATTGGCTAAGGAAGTTTAGAAATGTTTGACTCAAAAATCAGCAATAATGTGTGTGAATTACTGGATTTTTCAGATAAATTTTTTCAGTAAGTATTTATTGAGCATGTATTATGTTACAGGCATTGTTAGTCTATGAAGACCCTCAAATGTCTCTGTGGTTTTCCCTTTTTTGTTTTATATCATGCCATTTTATACCGTTTAATGATTTAGTTTAATTAGGTTTGTTTGCTGTGAGTCATTGTACTTTTAGTTTCTAAGGGACCTGCTCTGTGATGTAGTTTGTACTAGTGTTCATTCCATCTTATTAATACCTCTAGCATAGGTGTGCTCAGTTTGTATACTATAGGGTTTACCTGCTTCCCACCAGTCTATTCCACAAATGATCATAATTAGGGGCTCTTAGGGGGACACTGTGAAGGAGCACAGCATGAATTTTCCCCTTTATTGGTTCCTGCCCTTCACATCAACACTCCTTCAAAGGTATTTTTTTTGAAAGATTTTTATTTATTTATTTGAGAGAGAGACAGAGCAGGAGCAGGGGGACAAGCAGAGGGAGAAGCCAACTCCCTGCTGAGCAGGGAGCCCAATGCGGGGAGTGATCCTGGGACCCCGGGAACATGACCTGAGCTGAAGGCAGCTGCTCAACCAACTGAGCCACCAAGGCTCCCCCTTCAAAGGTATTTTTTGCCAACACGTGGCTCAGTTTGCACACTTCCCAGCACTCTGTTCGATGTTCCACACTCCAAAATCTTCATTCTTGCCATTTTCCTTCTTCTACCTCTAACCGCATTTGCCCATTTCCTTAAAATTCAGATGGTAATGGATGGTTGATAATTGGTCTTGCATTGTAACAACCTCTTATATTTGCTTGGAAGGCAGATATGTAGAGAAGAAACCTTAAGAATCTCCTAAAATGTTTTAATTACAAAATTTTACCATTTTAATATTCAATTTACCATTTTAACAATTTCTAATTGTATAATTCACTGGTATAAAATACATTTACATTGTGGTTCAAACAGCACCACCATCCATTCCTAGAATCTTTTCATCTTGAAAAACTGAATATTTGTACTCATTAAACAATAACTCTCCACTACTCCATCCTTCCAGTCCTTGGGAACTACCATTCTGCTTTCTCTTTCCATGAGTTTGACTACTTTAGATACCTCATAGAGATGGAATTATGCAGTATTGGTCATTTTGTGACATTTCATTTGACATAATGCCCTCAGGGTTCATCTATGTTGCAGTGTGTGTCAAGATTTCTCTCCTTTTTAAGGTTGAATAATATTCCAGTGTATGTACATAGCACATTTTGTTTATCCACATCCATCTGTGGATGGTGTTTTGGGTTGCTTCTGCCTTTTGGTGGAAAGAGGAATACATAAACATCTCAATATTGAGGGTATATAACCAAATTCTTTCCATTTTTGAGTATATATCAGAAGTGGATTGCTGGATCATAAGACCATTCTATTTCAAAATTTTTGAGAAACACTTATACTTGTTAATTGGAACAACTATGCTCTAGACTTCATTTTCACAAGCAAGTTTCAAGAAAGAGAGTGATCACTAGTCATGAAAGGAACTTCAGTATATGAGTGAATCACAAAATTCTAGAAGAGTTTGTCACCCTTGCTACAGTGCATTGCTTAAATCAGGTGTCTAATAATTGCTCTGAATGGAATGGTGAAACCACTACCCAGTGGTCAGCTCCTGAATAACAATTTGGGCATCCATTATAATACGTTTTCTTTCCTCTTTTGGTAAAGATCCAAACTCGCAATTATTTAATACTTCTTTAGTAGTTCTATTTGCATAAAGAAAGTACCCGTAAAAGACTGTCTTAAAATATTTCAAAACTTGGGAAGAAGTCATTTTGCTACCCTCTAGTCTCTCTTTCAGTTTTTCTCTGACAACCATACCATCTATAGTAACAAAAACAGGGAATAGGCTTTTACTATCATCCAGCTCTGTGTTGTAATCTATTAGCTCTGCCATGAACTTTCTTGATACTTTTGAGCTTTGTTTCATTATTTGTAAAACGGGAAGTGATATCTTCTTTAGTATTTTGTTGTGACAATTTGTCAGTAATATACCCAAGAGATTGACAAATAGGAGATGAGCAATTTAGGAGGGTATCTCAATAGGTACAGAGAAAGCATTTGACAAAATCCAGATCCATTCCTAATTAAAACTTCCACCAAATTAGATAGAATTAAAGGGAATTTTTTCAACTAAAAAAGGGCTACTAAAAGACCTACATCAAATGTCATTCTTCATGGTGAAAGCCTAAATGATTTTTCCTTAGTTTCATAAATAAGGGAAGATTTTTGGCTTTCACCACTTGTATTTAATATTGAAGTAATGTTCCAGACAATGCAATAAAGCACTTGGAAGAAAAAAAGCCATACAGTTTGGAAAGGAAGAAGTGACTTATCTTTATTAACAGCCAGCATAACTGAGGAGAAAATGGAAGGGAATCTACAAAACAGCTACTGGAACAAATTGGTTTAACAAAATCAAAAATATACCTGGTATATGATCCAGCCATTCTACTCCCAGATATGGACCCAAAAGAAATGAAAACATATGTTTATTTTTTTTTAAAGTTTTTTTTTAATTTATTTATTAGAGAGAGAGAGAGTGAGAGAGAGAGCACAAGAGGGAGTAGGGTTAGAGGGAGAAGCAGACTCCCCGCCGAGCAGGGAGCCCGATGTGGGACTCGATCCCGGGACTCCGGGATCATGACCTGA